CTAGGAGGATGGAACTCCACACCTGACCGTAGACCTCTGGCCAACCTGACTTCCAGCAACCACATAATTGACAATATGTTTTACAGTTTTGACAGATAATGTGCATGTTAGTTTAAATCTGTACATAACTAAACACGGTAGTGGTATTCTGTCTTTTCTGACAATGTTTTTTTTTTTTTTTTAATGAACAGTATTTGATTTTCTCAAATATAAAAAGGTCTGATGTTCCTCCTTGCTCTGTTCTTCTGGGAACCTCTGGCAGTTTAGTATGCTTCCTTTTACAGATTTCTCTGTTCTGAATCCTGGATTCTCTTTAGGTCTAACCCTTCTGGAATAAACCTCCAACTCATGTTATGCTGGGTTACTAACATAGAGAAGCTCTTATGTCCTAATTGTGTAGTGAATGAAGCAGGTTATCTTCCCCTGACTAAACAGATTTTTGTGGCCATTCAAGAATGAGCTAACTGCCAGTCTATCTACAAATGTGCATGTAGATTATATGGAATATATAAAACTAATCCGAATACTGTTAAAAATAATTAAGTTAGCTTTTTTTGGGCTTAGAGTTGTTCTCAGAGTCTTAGTTGCAGGTAATCAGCCATTATATATTTACTTCAAATAGGTTTAACATAGTGGTGGGCTGAAAATGCACAACCCATGTACAGAGGCCTTAGTCCTCGCTGCGGCCGACCAAGGTTCAAATCTGACCTTTGCCTCTCTCTCATATCCCCTTTCCTGTCAGCCTACTCTCTAAAAATTGAGCCACTATTGCTGTAAAAACTAAAAATAAAAAAAATAAAAAAAATAGATTGTGGTGGGCCATTAACGACCTGCATTAATGCCAGACTCTTATCGGGCGATACAAAAAAATATCTTCATTAATGTATTCTCAAAGTTGGGTTGGGAGCTGGGCTTATACTAAGTAAGCTATGATGATTTTCTCCTTGGTATTTTAACACCGATGTATATCTGGCATAGATGTATATCTGGGAGTGAGAACAAATCAGTCTTTCAACCTGTGTGGCATACTGTGAAATTACCACACTGAACGTGACATGCCAATATGGATGCAGCTATGAAGAGGCCAGGTTTGCTTCAGAGAAAATATATTTTTAAGAAGCTTCCCAGCAGAAACCTTGACAAGACTAAATCTGTTTGCAACTTGTGCAATGCTGAATTAGTTTACTGCAGGAGTTCTCTAGTCTAAAGCATCCCTTAGGCAACATAGAAGATGCTGGGCCAAGCATGCATGTAGCGCAGGGGAAAAATGGTGTTTATCAAACTACAACGTTTGAGTGCAATTGTGTGGCAACTAGCTGGCCCCTCACTAGTGGGGCCTCCTGCTGGTAGGAGGATAAGGAAAAGCCAAAAAACAAGCCAAGGGAAAAGGAAAACAAAAAAGGGCAATAGAGGGTACCTAAACAACTCAGGATTGGTACAAAGACACAGAATACAAAGAAACTTAAAAAATAAACCCAAGCAGAACCTTGACATCGATGCTGTGTAACATTTTGGTTAAGTAGGTCTTACTTCAGTATTCTTGTATAATCAAAAAAACTATACCGGCATATTTGAGAGAAAAAGCTGGTCTGCTTCATGTCTTTGTCATATTATTTCTTGTCATCTAAGAAAAAAAAAATTATTCAATTGAGTCAGATTTTCGACTATTTGTTTTAGCAATGAAAATAAAGTGTCATGATCTGGCCTGTTTGCTCTCCCTAATTAGTCATTCCTTTAACCTGTCGTTTTTCCCTCCCTGCCTCAATTATAATTTATTCCTCTCACCTGTGTCCTCTAGTTTATATTCAGTTCAGCCTGAGCATTCAGTGCCAGATCATTGCTTGTCTTTCTGTCAGTCTTTCTGTTCAGTTTTTATTTGGTTCATGTCTTGGATCCTAGCAGCCAGTGGAAAGAGGGTTTTAGTGTTTGTCTCATCTCCTGATTGTCCACTGTTCCTCCCCCGTGGAGTCCTCTGGGTTTTTGGCTCATTATGGGGGTAGGTTCAGTTTTTATCAAAGTAAGCCTGGCTCCAGGGAGGAGACCAGTTTAAAGTCCTGCTTCAAGTTCCGGTTCCTACGTCCTGTCTCGGCTACCCTCTTCCACTGTGCCTGCCTGTCTGCACCTGATCCTGTCTGCTCCTGTGCGTGACCATCTGGTCATGCTTCTGGTCCCAGTCTGACTCTGAACCCTCCTGGAAGCCTGTGCATGTCTGGAAGTCTGGATCCTGCCACCTGTCTCTGTTCCTGCCTGATCTGGATTCTGCCTGTTTGGTCTGTTCCTGTCTGTTCTGGATCCCTCACCAGGATCGGCTTCCAGCCTCACCTCTGAGACTGCAGCACTGGGGACATTCGTGGTCTGGACCGTTAAACCAGGTAAGTGACCAACACAGTTAATCTTATATCAGTTTATCGTGGTCACTTACCTGTGTTTCCTCCCTAGAGTGTCTGAGATTGAGAGGTGCCCCGCCCCCCCACCTGCAGTGTCCGCGAGCCACAGCTCTGCTTTCCCTTTGGTTTTATTTAATAAACGTTTGAACTTTCCTACTGACTGTCTCTCCTTGAATACTGGGTCCATCTGTCCTTGTTTCCTGACATAAAGTACCAATGAATTTACCATCTATCTCCTTTATTTAATTGGATTTATCTGGATTGCATACATTTTTGCCAGACAAAAAAAAGACAAAGGAAATGGCCATTAGCATGTACTTTAAGAAGCTTAGGTGTAAATTCTAACAGGAAGGTTCTAAGCTACACAATCACCTCATCAATCACCTTATCATCAGCCAATCATTGATCAAGTCTACTCCTGTGACACCAGATTTAGGCAAATCTTCAATTTCCAGCTAAAATGCAACCTTCGTCCACCTCTTCATCAACTTCATTCTGCAGATTTCCCTCATTCTTCAACCTTTGTTTCAGCCTCAGTCTTTGGGCTGGAAGACATTTCTAATCTAGATCTGCCTACTCACACAGATCTACAGCATTTAACACCAACCAGTTTTAGGTAAATTTTATGTCTGTGAATCACATTTTATAGTAAAATCACAAGCTTCAACTGATTCGTCTTAAATGTGTTTATTTAGAAAGCTGAACAGCTTATATTTAAGCAGAGTGCGGAAATAAAGCTGCAGGTTTTTTTTTAGGTTTTTTATTCAAAAGTTTTTTATTTTCTCTAATAATTCATATCAAGATTAAAAAGAAGGGAATTACAGATAGAACGTCATAATCTGTATTGGTCTCCCATCAGAAACAGAGAAAACCACACACAACACCAGTCCATGTTTCTCAGGAGAGAAGGTGATCTAATTATTGAAGTTTAAAAATCTGATTCTGTAAAACTAGTAGAAAGATAATGCCAAGGGGCTTAACTGCTTTTTCAGATACAATTTATGATTAAAGCACATCAACACAAGGAAAACAAGACAAGAACCTGACAGGACAGATTCACTTTTAAAACACCAGTTTTGTTTTATAGTGTTAGACTACCCATGCTCTGTGAACTATGTTTTTCTCTGCACTGACAGTCTTTAAGGATGGATATATTTAGTAAGGTGAAACCCTTTTTCAGTTTTCTTCTTTTCAAACGAAATTCTTTGTGCAAAATGCACATGGATAACAATTACATCAAGGCTACAAACATTTGAGATTTTCAATTAAGAAAGGAAATTAACAGCTGTTTTTATCATTTATAATTTTGTCAAATTTTCTGTACAATTCTTCTACACTATAAAAAACTTATATTTGATTCCTTTTCAAATAAGACCAAATATTTCATATTTATAAAATTTTATCTGAGATAATTTTTTTTGGTATGTAAATGTGGTGCTGCTTTACTAATACAAGAGGCCCATAGTTTAGTTTTTATGTTTTTTTGCTTTCTAATTCCAGGTTTTCCTCAAGCATACTAAAAATTCTGTTGTTTTTCAACATATGTTTATGTTTTTTCTCACTACTTTAAACAAAAGTTATTCAAATAAAGTAATTCATAATACCAATAGATTAAAGACCTTTTCTGAGTTGTTTTACCATTTATCTTCCAGTGAAGAAGTGCAGTTTTAAAGTTATGAAAACTAGATTGTGGAAGTGATCAGATCACAGCTTGATTGTTACTTTCTATAAAACAGCCATTACAAACCTTTTTATTTATTCACAGTAGAGTTTTTTTTTTTTTCAAAAAGGTTGAAGAGTCAGCCCTTTTATATATTAAAAAAATCAATGACTATGCTGCAGTCAAAGTTGTTTAAATGCTATATTCTTTCTTGGTGATGATGCAGGAAACATAAAATGTATTTAGATCTCAGGTTTATCAAGGTGTTTTTGCCTTGTGATCAAAATAATATCTGAAGGTTTTCATTAAATCTGCTAAGATGAAAGCTATTAGCAGGTTGATTTTCTCACTTTGTAGTAATCAAAACTTATTAGTTGCCCTGACAGACTGGTGACCTGTCCAGAGTCGCCCATTGACAGCTGGAGAAAGGCACCAGCACCCCTTGCGACCCCAGCAGGGATAAGCATGTCAGAAAATGGATGGATGGATGGATGGATGGATGGATGCATGGATGGATGGATGGATGGATGGATGGATGGATGGATGGTGAATGGATAAGCCGTTTTTATATTTCCACTCCATGGTTCTCTATTTCCTGTTTTTCAGCTCTTTGCCTTCCTTTATAGTCAAAACATTACAGTAACTGCATCTCACTATATGAAAGGACATATGAGAAGTCAGTTAAACACAACAGGTCTCTTGATATAACAAAACTAGCTCAGGTGTCACATTATGACCTGAAACTGAAAACAGAGATGTTTAGTATACAGATAAAATGCATCACATTAATTAGCTATTTCTTTATCACCCTTGTTTCTATTTGTGTCTCATAAGTTGCTGTTTTACCTCATAAAATTTCTAAATTTCATACTTTTTCATCAGAAAATTCAATGTTAATGAAAATAAGTATATTCTGCTGAGTTGAAACTAGTTACCAAATCTATTTACTGATTTTAACGTGGTGTAGAAAACTTAGCCGGTTTCTGTCTGAGCTGTGAGATCTTCTCCTCCATCTCTTTAAGCTCTTTTTCTATTTCCACCACATGATTCTCTATTTCCTGTTTTCTCTCCTTCAGCTTTTTAACTTCCTGAGTTTTTCCCTCTATCAGTTTCTCCGGAGTAAATTCCACATGTTTAGTCAATATTTCATTGCTCTCTGTAATGATTTCTCTCAGTTTTAAGAACCCTTGTGCTCTCTTATCCATCCTGCTCTCTCTATGGTTTTCTATATCACTATAAACAGCATTAAGCGTATTTTCATTCTTCTTAATTATTTCCTCTGTCTCCAGTCTCTGAGCAGTCAGTTGTTCTTTCTGCTCCTTCTGTTCCTTGGACATCTTCATTAATACTTCAATATGTTCAGCAATGCTTCTCACATCCTGGTTTCTCTTTTTTAAGTCCTTTTCAAGGTCTGACTTTTTCATAGCCACTAAGTCTTTTTCTTCTTTCAGGAGCTGATGTTTCTCTTCTTTCATCTCATCTTTTAGCTCCTTCATTGCTGCAGAAATTAGAAATCAAACAAATCAAGATTTTGCTTAAGTTTAGCTCCTGATTAGCAACAATTAATTTTAAGGTAGTTTTAAACAAAACATTTTTAATAAAAGTTTAAATATGGAACCTTACTGAATCATAAAAAATAATAACTTACATTTTTTAGTCAGTCTCCATTTCCATATGAATGCAGCAACTCCAAATAAAAGTATGAGTCCAAAAATCACACTAAAGCTGACAGAGACACTGCAGTTCGATGGAGGAACAAATAAACCATCTGAAACACAGATAAAGAGTTTTATGTAACAAATAATACTTTACTTGTTTAATGATGAAAGTCTGTTAAATGTTCCACCTTGAATATAAATGTGTTTCTCTCTGGTCTGGTTGATGTCTTTCTGTTGGACTCTGCATGTGATGTTGTTATTGTGTCTTTTCTCCACAGTCACTCTGCTGCTGATGCTGTAGAGACCATCAGGACCTTTGAGATTCTCAGTTGGTCCAGCAGACATGATGTTTCCTTCACCATCCAGCCAGAATATTTCAGGTTCTGGATACCAGCCTGCAGAGCTGCAGTCCAACTTCACTCCATTTTTGCTTTCATCAAGAGCTGCTAAACCGATACCAGGTAAGGAGATGGAACCTGATGACCAGAGAATAGAGATGTTAGATTTTATCACCACTGCATCCAAAACATTATGAAGTGTTTGATACCGAAACATTTCTACTGAATCATTTACTGATAAGTGATTCACCTAGAAAATACTCAAAAATACCTGATGCAGGAGTGGAGTGTTACCCTCCCCATTATGGCTAAAGACAGACACCTTGATAAACTAAACTCAATATAAAATCCAAACATTTAGAAAACAAGCATCAATAGTTCCTGAACTATATCCTTGAAGCTTCAAATAAGAAAAATATCTCTGTTGTAAAATTCAACTCAGATGTAGTTTTTGGTTAACACTTTACAATACCCATAATTTATAAATGTTAAAGTGACAATTCATTAATGTTAGTGTTTCAATTTTTGATTAACATTTCTTAACTTAGAAATAGATCATATTGCCCAGCCATGTTTGTTTATACCAAACTTCAGTGGACTTAAAACCTTAATACATGATGAACCTACCTTTAAAATTGGTTCTGAATGCAGTTTATAAACGAATCAAACATTCATAAAAATATCTGTTGATAATTAATAAGCTCTCCCTTCACCATTTATAAATGATGGTTATAGTGGTTATTGTACCTGAATAAGTAAAAGTCCAAAACATTTTTTGTGAAAGAAAACCTGAATTGCCTTGATTTGTAAATTATTAAAGATTATGAGTTAAAGGTTTCGCTACGGACAATAAAAAATGTAAATACACAGTGATAATTAAAACGAGCACTTCATTGTGGTGATTTAGAAGAGACCTAATTTATAAAAAGAAAATCTAGAGACTTGGGGTGAGCAATCATGCAGCATTTTATGTTATTGCCAAGGATCAAATGACACATGCACAGAGACGGCTGCAGCTTCACTAATTGCTTTTTAATCAGTCATTATTTGTAGTTGTGCTGCATTTTCTTACCTTTCTTTTGTATTGGTGATATAGTCATGACACTTTTGGTTCTAAATTCTCAAGAGTTTAATAACACGGAGACTCCAGCCTTCTCTATTATTTTTTTTTATATAATGAAGATTTATTGGACACTTCCAGTGAAAGTTACACACATTACTTCCATAAACATTTCACTGCTGTGTGATGTCTACATTTGGCTTCTGCACATGCGAGTCACTTTGATATCCTAAACCTTTCAAACTGAGCATTGATAGCACTCACATATGAAAAGTGTGAATGGCTATGCAGAAAAAAAAGGATTCTACCAAATAATGAGAACTGAGCATCATGGTCTGCAGTGTTTGATTAATGTCTAATGTCTTTACAACAATGTTTAATCCCAAACCCATGAATCCAATGGCTGAATTACCTAATTAGATGCCATTGCTCCATGTTTTTTGAGGCATAGACATCTAAAAGTTGCACGATTGAAGACCCCTAACTTGGGGGACCATGCTTAAAAACCAGTCTCCTGGTTGTGTTTAAAGGAGTCCCAATAGTAATTTAAGTTAAAATGTTCCCTGTGTGAGCAGATATTTTTTTCAAATGTTTTTATAGGCAGAAACGGTGCAGTTGCCCATTAAGACCAGCATAAGGCAGAAATAATATGGAATTAACTAAACCACATTTAAAAAAAAATTAAAGTTCCTGGTGTCAGTTTATCACAGGGCAACAAGAACCAACCAGCAGTGATGGGAGTTATGGCGTTGAAAGTAATGGTGTTGCTAACACTGTTACCTTTTTTAGTAACGAGTAATCTAACTATTCACTTTGAGTGTAACTATAACGCAGTTACCATTGCCAACACCCCGTTACTGCACCTTACTCAGGTCGCACAATTAACCTTTTTTCATGATAGGACTTGTGCGCGCCTTGTCATGAGAAAGGGGAGGATGAGATTGGCTGATGTTTAGTAAGATTACATCTGTCAGTTGGGTAGGTGGGTGTTTGCGCTGGCAGGTTTTAACGCACAGCACACACAAAGAGATAGAGAGTGAGGAGGACTCCAGCAGCAAAACAGCAGTTTCCAGATTGAAATATCGGTGTTACTTCGCGCTGCGTTTCTTCTGCATCTCCGCACAACGCAGGCGGCACGATTCACAGCGCAAGTGACAGGAAACGTGCATGCTTGCTAAAGGCGAGTAACAGCTGACTTTGGCCGCCACAGGGGAACTACGGATAGCGTGAAGAATCAAATGTTGATGGATGGATGGATGGATGGATGGATGGATGGATGGATGGATGGATGGAAACGCAAAAGTAACGCAATAGTTACTTCTACTAGTAACTAGTTACTTTTATTGTGTTAACTAGTAAATATAACTAATTACTTGTTGAAAGAAACGTGCCCAACACTGCCAACCAGGCACAGACTGAACAATACTGAATCCAAACAAACGAGTATTACATTCACTTAGCAGTTTAGGTTTTAGGTTGTGGGAAGAAGATAAAGCACCTGGAAAGATCCTTGAATTTACTGTATAATTTATCTCTCTGACAGTCATTTCATTTCATTACTTTTTACTTGTTTATTTCATTACTTCATTATATGCAATGCCATGGTCATGTGCAATAACTGTAAGTTGCTACTGAGCAGCATCGCAAACTGTAAATGCTGTCTATTTATATAATGTGCTCATTATCTTAGTTTATTCGATCCTTGTCTTATTTAATTCTTATACCTTATGTTACACTATTTATATGGGAAGGGTGTTATTTTACAAATTTTTTTTTATTTTATTCTGTCCTATTATACAATGCTCTATTTTTCACTATTGTACTCACAATCTTATTTTTCTCTCTTCTGTAAATGGCTGCACTGCAAGAAAATAATTTCCCCGCAAGGGATTAATAAAGTACTTCTGATTCTGATACCAAAGCTGTCAAGAAAGACCCCATACTGGAATTTTAACCCTCACCTATCTTGCTACAAAGCAACAATGGGGAAAAAATGCAACCCTTTACAATTCATCCATTTTATTTTTGTAAATAAATATATTTTTTCTTCCAATAATATAATAAGGAATAAATTAAATTTGTGTCTCTCATTTGAAGTCCAAAGCCCAGCATTGTTTATCACATCACTATGCAAAAATATTGAGATAGGATCACACTGTATGTTGTTTACTTACCAACAAGAAGATCAACAAAATATATGTCAATCTTCTTTGCATCGTAGCACCTAAATCTTCCATTGTCAGAGTGTTTTACACCCTTCAGTCTCAGTGAAGCATCTCCATCTTTCAGTCTGTCGGTGAACAGTGATGTTCTTCCTTTATACACAATGTTTTGGTCATCATTGTTTTCACTGCCTTCAAACCACTGATGCACAAATCTGGGATTCAAGTCAAGTCTCCCCCACTCCACTTCCAACTCATCAGCCTTCAGAGGAACTTCCAGGTGACACGGCAACACAACATCATCACCAACCATGGCTGTAACCAGCTGAGTCCGAGTGGTCTCTGTGGACTGACCTGAAAAACAAAATAGACAGTTTTGTTTCTCTAAATAAATGTAATTTCTGTGTATGAATTTGGTCTCAGTCAGCTATTTTTGTGATCAATGCATTTTGTTCTTTGTCATAATATAATTCAGCTCTTCATTTGCAGAAAATGTCAGCAAGTGTGTGTTTTTGTTGGTTATTTTGTTTTTTACTCCAACCAACCTGCCCTGCGACCACCCATAGCTAACGATCCTGAAGAAGGCGCAGCAGAGACTGCACTTCCTGAGGTTTCTAAGGAAGAAAAATCTTAGACCAGAGCTAATATTATAAAATAACCCTTTTTTAGACTACTTTTCACATGTTTCTAACTATAATTTACATGCTAAGCCTTTTTATGGTGGTGCCACCCCCTCTCTCCCACCTTTAGTACCACCTATGCACAACTGCAATTAATTAATTATTATCTAATAATGTATTTATTTATAATTATTATTTATTATTATGCTCCATAAAGTTTTTAAAAAGAAAGTTTTGTTGTCTGTATGGTCCATTCATTGTAATTTCCACAACAACCAGTAATTTCCACCACGCCATTTGTTTTTAAATAAATTGTTGCAAAATTTGAATCACACATTGAAACCTTCATAACTTAAAAGATAACATTCCACTTTAATTAAAAACACAAGTATTTACACCTTGAAATGTATCTTGCGATTCCAATGCTATATCTCAGGTTATGGCGAACATAAGATTTGCATCTTGTCCTCATCACAATTAATTTACCTAATCCATAAATGTATGTGTTTAACAATAAAGGCATAAACAGTTGAGACTATATATGAAATTGCTCTTCCAGTGAAAAAACATGTGTATCATAGTATTTTAGAATGAATGACATATATTTATATGTGGTGGAAATTAGATTTGTGCCAGCCGAGTTGGGAAATCTGTTAAAAAACACCAATTTGTCTTAAAAAATCAGTGTGTTCTCAAATTAATCTTCAAACTAGACTAGTTATGCTAACCGATTACATTGTGAGAATTTATACTTCATTACACTTTTTCTCTTCAAGTTTGCAAGGCCAATAGTGCCAGTAGTTAAAGAATCACCCAACTACCAACAATCACATCAACAGTTATGCAATTTCTACAACACTGAATAAGTGCAAAACTCTCACATGCAATACCGCAATTTTCTTGTACATATATTTTTCTTCTTTAACTGCACAGTCACTTATAACTTTTTAAAATAATATCTATTTACTTTATCTTGCATTATTTGCATGAGTTGTTTTGTTTTACAGTGTTTATAGCTGCTAAAAATTCTGTTGTACCCTCTTGGAACATGACAAATAAAGACTACTCATTCTCTTCTTATTCTCATTTTGTTGCTAACAGTAAATGATCAAGCATTTCTCTTAGCAGTGAGAGCTTTTTTGGTTAGAAATTACCTGAACAGATGCATATCAGTAGAAGAAAGCCAAACTTAAGTTCAGCAACCAGAACCTTTTTTAAAGATATATTTTGAGGCTGGTGAACCATCTTGATGATAGAAAAGCTGGCAGAAGAGAAAAGAGGCATTTAAGTGTTTGAAACATTTATAAAGTGCTTTCAGTTATTTCGGTTGCAAACCTTTCTGATTTCTGATTCGGAAACCACATGTGTTAAGGACTAGTAATATTAGCACTACTAATCACCAAATCTATCAACAAATAAGTTCAGCAACTGACTTTCCATGAACTGTAACATCAGATTGTTTACAATGATTGCTGATTTATATTAGGCATTTTGAAATACATCAATAGATATAAACTGTAACAGTGGAAAATAAAAGGAAAGAGTTACATCGGCGAAAATAAACCTACCCGTTCAGCTGTGTCATGTCTTCTTTGTTCTTTATAAACTGAAAAGGGCAAAGTCTCAGAGAAGGATTGTAAAGTTTTAGGTGTGGTTCACAGTGACCTCACTAGTCCAACCAGGAAGTGAACCTACTGTACTGATATGTCAGTGAACTCTGCATTAAAGTGGCTGCTAAGATACTGAGAGAGAATCAAAGAGCTTTACACTATATACATTCAAAAACTGATGTTATATAACAACATCAGTGTGTGAAATAATAAATGACCAACAACAGCAGACAAGACAGGTGAAGTTTCTTGCCCAAGGACACTGGTGTTTTTAAGCGAAAAAACACCAGGTTTAGTACAAAGTCCAACACTTACTGAGCCACTGTGGCCCTGAGTGCACTGTGTTCATCAAGAAAAGCAGAGAAAGCCAGCCTTGATCTATGGAGGGACTGAAGAGTTTATAAATATGTCATGATTTGCAGCGTGTAAAACTGTCAGTAAGTGATATAACAGGTACCGGACTGGGTTAGCTTGTGTCACAACAGGACTCTGACAGTCATTTCTAGAAATATAAAGTCAACCTTCAGCTTGATCAACCCCAGAAATAATCCAGACAGGAAGATGACATCCTGACCAAGATTTAACCTAGATGTAAGTGTGTCACAATTTGGTATGGAAACTGCCCTGTCTCTGAAGGCTTAGCAGAGGGTTGTGAAAACTGCCCAGCGCATTGCTGGCGCACCACTCCCTGCCATAAAGGACACATACAGGAAGTGGTGCCTGAAAAGGGCAGAGAAAATCAACAAATACTCCACTCACCTTGCACACACACTCTTCTCACTTCTGTCCTCTGGGAGGCGTTTCAGAAGCCTACAGGCACCAGGCACCGGACCAGCTTCTTCCCCACAGCTGTTACACTCCTAAACTCCTCCTGACACCAACTATAAGAACTGTACCCCCCCACCCCCCAAAAAACACACATACAACACACAACAATAACATATGGACTGTCCTTACACACACACACACACATCCATGGACTCAACACCACTTACACAAACTTCTCAACCACAGCTGAATATAATCCAGTGGCAGCTGGCCGACAGAGGCTGTTAGAGTGCTGCCCCACCCACCAAATGATCTTTATTAAGACATGAAAAAGAAATAAAAATGTAATTTAAAATAAAAATATTTCGAAATATTTTAATATTTTTTTAGATGGGCAAGATAAATATTTAATCTTTAATGACGAGTAAAACTTTCTCATTTATCGTCGGATTGGTGACGTATTTCTTCCCTGGGGCGGAAAAATCTTTTGCCATTGACTCTCCTTAAAAGTTGTACATGTGCAGTAGCTCCTCTGCATTGCAAAAGGACAGGAGAGCTGCGCCCGGAGCTGAAATGAAATGTTGTTACAGTCGACAGTTGACATGCTGGGTCGTGGAAGTGCCTTAAACACTGACAACTTTTTAAAATTTAATGCTAGTTGAAATAATATGAAAACCTTAGGTTACATTTTAAACCAAAGGAGTCTGCTGAACACTTTTTAGACACAAGTCTGAAAACAGATGGAAGTACATTTATCTGACCTCAAAACAAAACCACATCACTTCAACAAATGTTTCTCTCATGCAATTTTATTTTGTCAAAAGTGCAAGTCAAAAAAGCCCACACATATACATAAATTGTTGCAGTCACCGGATGAGATACAACTTCTGCATCTGTTTCACCTCACTGAAAAATGTTTTTTATTTTAAAAATGAAAGCAGACAAAGAGAGGCAAAGAAAGTCTTTGTGGACTTCCAAAAAGAGCCAGTGCAGAAAAAACACAAAACTGAGATGCTATATGATAAACCTAAAACTAACAACATTCTGAATGATGATTTTATCTCACCAGAGGATTAAGGAACCACTAACAGGACCAAGCAATGTTTGTCAGAGGAGGAATAAGTCTAATTATTGAAGTAGTGCGATTAAATGGAGAGAAGTAAACCTGATAAACAGATTAAAAATATGTTGGCCTAAATATAGTAAAAAAAAAAAATGTCTGTTTTTTTCCAACACAATAATGTTTTTTTTTTTTTTGGTTTTGTTTTGTTTTTGTTTTTTAATGGTTTGTTGGGCCATAGACAATAATAATAATTTTTGCACATTCATTTGTCCAATTTGTCTGCTATGTTCACTGAGGATGCAGTTTTGCTCATAAAATGGCCGTGAGGCCTTTCCTCTCCAATTACTGTAACCTTCTCTCCCCCCAAGACAGCGTCTCATACCTTCCCACAGAGGTGTGCCTCTGCCCCCCACAGTGTTTTTTGAGGACAGAAACACTGTAGCGCAAAGGACTTTTGTTTAATTCCTGGGCGGAACCATCTGGCTGATGTATAGTGAGATTCCATCTGTCAGTTGGGTAGGTGGGTGTTTCTGCTGGTGGGTGTTAACATACAGCACACATAGAGAGATGGAGAGTGAGGATGACTCCAGCAGCAAAAGAGCATTTTCCAGATGGAAATACCGGTGTTACGTCGAGCTGCGTTTCCACAGATACGGTTTCCCCTGCATCTCCGCACAGCGCAGGCGGCACGATTCACCGCACAAGCGACAGGAAACGCACATGCTCCCTAAAGACGCGTAACAGCCGCCCTGTGCTCACACCACACAGGAACTATGGAGAGTGTGAACGATCGAATGCTAGCCTATATGGAGAAAGGGAGAAATCGGGATGGATGGATGGATGGGTTGATGGATGGATGGATGTTGCAGTATCTATAACAACCCAAACACACAGGATTTCAGAATTAGACATCCCCAGTTATTAATTTCATACACTCACCAGATCTGAACGCCCTGTTAAAAAACTTCACATCCATGAGTAGAGGTAAAGCAGCCTGATGATATTTACACTGCATCAGATAACTTTCCCCCAATGTTAAGAAAAGGGAACGCTATCTGACGGCGTTTATAGGCCATCAGATAGCGTTCCCCCCTGATGTCATTGACGTTGAGTTGCAATAAATGCAAAACTCTGCAGGTTCTTGTCTTTGTCGTCCGCTCTATTCAGCTGGCTTTTGAAACACACAGCGAGAAGGTGGGGGCTGGGTGGAGAGGGTTACGGGGGAGAGAAATGCAAAAATAACGCAATAGTTACTTTTTCTAGTAACTAGTTAGTTTTATTGTGGAGTAACTCAGTAACTCTAGTCACTTTTTGGAAGAAGTAACTAGTAACTATAACTAATTACTTTTTCAAAGTAACGTGCCCAAACACTGGTGGTCACAATAGAATAGCAGTTTCAATTACCATACAGTTAAAAAATAAAAAAATCTGATTTTAGTAAAAAAAAAACAGGTTGGCAGGTAAAAAGGTTAAGAACGCTGGAAGGTACTCAGTGGCTAGTCTGAGACAATCTGGCACTGGGAACAGATCCAAATGAGGTATATATGGAAGTGGAACCACTTAGTGTTAATAGCAGGCAGGGTGCAGTGAGCAGATGTGCCGAGTTGGGGATTAAGCCGGCACCAGTGCCGAGATCATCACATTTTGATAATTTCATGTGTTTACTGATGAGTAAAGACAAAGCTAACAGGGTGGATTGCATGCTACACTATGCAGCAGTTTTGAACTGTTGTTAAAACTTGGACAAGCTTTATTTCACTATAGGTTTAAACATCGATATAACATTAGTGTTCATGTGTTCTTCATATTCTCATTACATTTCAATTACCAAGTATGAACAAAAGTCATTTAGTGGAATCCTGATGTCTATTCGCTTCTAGCTATTTCAAAGAGGGTCAACAATCATTTACTAAAGGTTACTAGTTCCCGATTAAGTAAATCATCTAATAAAACCTAATTTGGCCAAATAATGTTTTATTCACCTCATGGATTTGCATTGTGAATTGGTCTGAAAACAGTCCAATTTCTCTAAATTAATGAAAAGCTAATTTGATCATATCCCAAATTTTTCCAGATAAACTTTGGTTTTCAAATACAAAATCCATCTTAAACTATAATATGGTTTTCAACATTTTTTCCCCCTCCTGTTTCTATATAGTAGTTTAATTCAGTTGAGTTTCACTATTTTTAGAGTTTTTAACTGAAATATGTTTGACTTATAGCTGAATGATTTTTGTTAATAAAAGAAGTTGTGGTGATTTATGCCATGTATGTGCAGAATTATCTGTTTGACCATAATTAGCGCTCAAATCCCTCTTTCATTTATTGTTCTAACACACAGCTGGTAGGGCGTGTGTTCATAAACAATATATGAATAATATCTGATTAAAAAGATATTTCCCACCCCTACCGGGTAGGGCAAAAAACATCTTAAAGTATCTGAACATAATAATGGCGTCCCAGCTGACTAGGCAGTAAATATAAGTTATTTACAACAACATGATGCATGAGCCACAATGAGCTGAGGACGTGCTTTGAGGACAAGATGAGCCGAAATCCAACGCACAAGCCGTGATGACCAGAGAAGGCGACATGTAAGCCGTGATGGTTAAGTTTGAAGCGCCCGCTGAGATGCCCAAAATCATGATCTGGTAAGGGGTTCAAAGCGAAGTGCCTTTTTTTTTTTTTTACAGTGTCCTGTCTGGCAATGTGACAATAAGAATGATTGTCTTGATGCCAAAAAGAGCCCAACAGATTTTACTTTCACAAGTGAAGCAGTATGGCTATTGCCATATTGTTCCACTTGTTTCATGCAAATAAATTGCTTTATTATAATTATGCAGGGAGTTTTACAGATTATATGGACACTGCAATGTAAGTAGAACAGAAGAGGAAAAACAAAAAAAAGGAGAAAAGATGAAATAAAGAGGAGATAGAAGGGAGATAATGATAAAACATTTTCAGTCTGCTTTAACACCTGCAAAGAGATGTAAAAAGAACAACACAACCAACAGACATGGTACGAGACACACAATAAAGTAACACCTTGAAACTATCACCGAAGTGTTATTATTTAATCTGACATGTACTCTGTGTTATAAGAAGATAACAGTATGGGCTTTCTGTATGGACGTGAATCTCTGAGTACATGGAACCAAGCACCTGTAGTTGTTTGTGAGA